CCTTGTCCAAATACAACTTAAATATTCCAAATTCAGCCTTGAGGCATGCATGGTTTTTACGTATAGGCACTTAAAAGTTGCTCACTGAACAGCTAGGTTACTTTTAAAGAATGACCGTTAAAAGGAATTATTTATTTAATTTATAAAAAAATTTAGAGTGGTTTACGCTAATGAGTGCAAAAGGTGGGTGTAAAGCAACAACAATTTATGCAGTTAATGACCTGAGTAATTCAAGTCCGGTGCAAAAACGCATGATCGCACCTGCAAGCCTGGTGCGTTTCTACTTGGGTTGATCGTCTGTTGCCGTCAGAGCCTTGAGGTATCAAAACACAGCCAAAATAGCAACGAGATCAGTCGAGACAGAGCCAGGCATTAACGTGCAACAATAACGGGACGTACTTGTACTCTACGTGAGAACTTTGAGAAAGTCTCTGTGAAATAAGCATATTATAACAGACCAAATATGTACTTATCAAATTAACATTATGCAGCTGGCGATTTTTCCATTTGCCTTGACCACTGTCGCATCACCTAGTGGTTAGCTTGCTGGCGACCCCACTGCTTGTTTTGCCTCCTTAACTTTGGTTAAAAAAGCTACGAAATTAAGTTGATCCAGAAAAACAAATACATGCATGCGTTTTGAAGGGTGGATCTGCAAAGGAAAGGGATTTTCTGTTTTTACCATCAACGAACACGAATTGAGAAAGAAGAAAATGCAAAATTTAGCCGGAGAGACGTAGGATTTAGGGTAAGGATGGCAGAAGAATGCAGTGGTAAATGGGAAAGTGTGCACATTTTTCAATAATATACATGCTAAAAAAATCAAAAACTTTTCATTTTTAAAAGAAAAAAGCTATAAGCTGTGGGCTACAAAAGGTAGAAGGTGCTATTATCAGCAAGGAATGAATTTGGCGACTGATTCCCTTCGTCTTGTGAAGTTGCCCTTCAGTTCCTTGTGATACCACAAATGCCCCGTCTCGTGACTCGAGTCACCCCTCCGTAATATAACCGAGGTTGGGACGCCGCACCAGGTTTGCCAGTGCGATCATACGGTTTTGCACCACACTTGAAGTAATCAGGTCGTTAACTACATGAGTGGTTGCTGTTTTGTACCTACCTTGTGCGCTCACTACAGTAAATCATCGTCAATTTTGCACAAATAAGAATAAACAGTTTCCGTCTGGCTGTTGTTGCTAGAGCGGTCGTTTGTCAAAAAATCCAAATATGTAAATAAACTGAGTGTTGGGAGAGGATGAAGGCAGTCATTCGTTGCAAAGTGCACTCGTTTCTAAGTCTGTGGTAAAGTTGAGTATTCCTCATGCCCACCTGCAGGGAATTTCATTTTTAAGCAGAATTAAGACCGCATTTGAAAGTAGAATATCCCTGCGAAGGTCCAGTCGTGCACATTATCCGGTAAACGAAATAGCCACCACGCTACAAATATCTTTGAAGTGCCCTAAGTCGTGACGTAAATGCAAATCGAAACTTATTTTAGGTATACTATTTTTCATACGGACGATAATTATTCTGGCAAACCTTCAGCCACTGTTTTCCAGCTAGTTTTCGAGTTAGCGTAGTTCCAGCAGCAAAATTTGACGTGACCGTACGCGATGCACAAGCGTGTGCAATGGCTGAATTTGAAATCTTTAGCTCACACAAGCAAATAGAATATTATTGCAAAGTTTCAGCCTTCTATCTTGTTTGGTTCACAAAATCGTTTCCTGCCAAAGAAACATGCATATTTTTTTCGGGGGTCCGTAAGCAAGATGTAGGCGCGTGTGGGAGATCTAAAAACGGAAAGATGACACATAGGGTAGGATTATGTCCCCACAATTTCAGCCTTCTAGCTTTCCTGGTTGCTGAGTTAGAAGTGAGTGATAAAGTTAACTCGCTTCTGAACACACACACAGACGACCTCTCAACAATATATGTTTTTGCTCGCTGTAGCAGGGCTATAACGCGATAACGCACGAAAATGATGTGATTAGAAATGAAAAGCGTTCCAACTGTTTTTGTTGGTGGCAACATGGTGCAGCTGCCGGTTCTCCAGTTTTGTCGGTTTGCTTTTTTTTTAAAGCATCGTTTGGGTGAGCGATCATCAAACCCACAACCCATTCAATTCAGGGTCCCCCCCCCCTTCCCCGCGTGCTGTGAGTGGTTTAGTTAGGAGAAGAAAAAGATGCCAGTACTGACAAAAGATGTGAGGAGAATCAAGGACCAAGCACATGCAATGATGGCAGGGTCGAAGGACTGAAATGCAAAAAATAGGGAATGACACCATTTTCGGCAAGAAGAGCCAAAACAGAAACATGACTTTCTTTGAAAGCTGAATGTATATCTGCAAAGAGATTTGTCAGCAATGACTGCTTTCTAGCAATCAATAGATTTTCTAATCTATCAGTGGTTGGCATTCTGCTTTTATCACTAACAATCAATCCTCACACTGAATGCCCGGCCGGTCGAAGTATTTTTAGTGCTGTTGATATTTCATAGTTTATAGACTGTGGATATATCTACCGAAAACAGCACACTGAACCCAAAAATGTGGGTGGCCTGAAATGAAACAATGCGAACACTTTTGTTCAGAAATGATATTGTTGTATGAAGGAACTTACCAGTAGTATAAAGTTCGAAGTTTTGGCACGGAAAAATGCAGAATTTTAAAAGATTTTGAAAATGCCCTTTTTTAAGCTAAAACTTATAAACCGTTTACCTAAAGAATGTCCTGTGAATGTCACATTATAGGACTTGAATTGTTTATTTTTCAGAATTGGTATAACCTCTGGCCAGATACTGTCTAGCGCTGAATAGAAGTATCGGTTTGCCTAAAACATTTTTGTAAATAAATCCGAACACATTCTGGCTTTTACATTAAGTTTTTAACGACAACCCGACAATGGAACTACTTGCCAACCGACCATTATTTGTAATGGCTACAATGATGGAGTTAGGGGAAAAATTGGCTGGTTGTTCTTTTGTCCCAGTGCGTGTAGAGTAAGCCAAGGCTTAACTTAAGTATACGTAGCCCTACAGTGATTTTAAATATTCTTGCAAAAATGCACCTTTGCAACGACACTAGTGCTAAATTTTAGCTGCTATCTTGTATAATTTTAGAAATAGTTTTCAAGTCAAAGCTTTTTCAGTTTTTCTTCCAAGCATCCGTCCTTGAAACCTAAGTGCCCCTGAACGCTGATTTTACTGTATGGTGGTCAAACATGAGGTGGGAACGTGCTCGCGAAATTTCAGCTTCTTAGCTTTGCTTGTTGCCGAGTTGTAAGGGGGTATTAAAAAGCGTCACACACATGCACACATAGAATCTATTGAAAAAATGCGATATTATTCATTGTTGTAGCGGTGCAGCCTTTCACAGCACAAACGCGAAAACGCTTAGCAATCATATTTTAAAGTGCTGTACTTCTATCAGTGTTTGGATCATCTGCAAATCCTGTTTGCAATATCAAAATTGTGGTGAAGCAGCTGTTTTTCAATGGGCTCATCAATTTTTTTTTTTTTTCGGAGTGGCCTGCTTCGTCAAGAACGTTCCGTCCGGACTGGATTCTCTAATTTCATTCTTATTCTTTATTAACAGCTTCATAACTACAAACTGCACCCAATCAACAAACTCCTATACGTTTATTTATCACATTTTAGTCTGAACGATGCATTTCTGTAGGTGCGTGCCTCTCCCTACACAACTTTATGCGCAAAAGGAAATTGAGAGGGCTTAGCTAAAAATGCATACCATCCCAAATTTGTGATACTGTAAGCCTGGTCTGACCGACTGTAGCATCTCCAGCAATAATTGTGAATTAGTGGTGGTACCACGGAACACAATAATCAACTGTTTCATGACATCAGAAAAAGCCGTATACGAAGCACAGTAATTTTTTACCGCATCACACAGTGAATTCACCGAACTGAACAGTGTCCAATTCTGCCAACTCGGATACGCCCTTTAACACCATTGCAAAATACTACATAAAAAATCGCCAATTCTTATAAGTGCATGTTTAAGTAAAAAAAAAAAAACTGCACTTTGCAAAATCGGTCCTTGAAACAGTTGCTGGATCGACGAGACAGTCCAACTAATCGAGTT